GAAGTTGTTTTTTTAGAAGGAAAAAAGTTTAATAAATACATAAAAAAATAGAAAATTACTTATTTTATAAAAATTATATTATATATTATATATTTTTTCATCAAAAACACATCACTATCTTGGAAGGAGGACGATTGGAAACAACTATTACTATCACCATGAACCAAGGCACCTTGCTCCACTTTCCATGTTGTCAAAGTTTTTCTCCTCATCGAGAGAAGGAGTGATTATAATGTGAGATGTATACGATGTGAACGACATGAGAAAACAAATGGTTGGTTTTGATTTTTTATTTTTTATTTTTATAAGTATATATCATGTATATCTTTCATGAAATTTTTTTTTTATAAGAAAAATAGAATTAACAAGAGTACAAAGGGTACTCTAACTTATATACACATAGTATTTTACAAAAATAAATTAAGAAAGTTAATTCAATCAACGTCAACCCAAAAGCTCACAAAAAGAACGACTTACTTAACTAATATCCAACAAACTTCTCGTATCCCAGAAAGCTAACCGTCAATGTGCAATGTTAAGAAAGGCAAACACCAGGAGAATTAGACCAAGAAAAGAAATTATACTTGAAAGAAGGGAATCTGGTCCTTAACCATCTCCATGAGCGTAATTGTACCATATTTAGCATTTCAGAAACAGGAATTATTTTAGAGCTGAATATGAGATCATTTCTTGCCAGCTAGATGGTCCAAATAATAGATAATCAGATAAGAATCCAACAATTTTGATACTTCGCAGAACTAATGAGCCCATAAAATTGTTCCAAGTTTTGCACACAACAATTATGCATAACAAAATTTAATCCTAACCAATTGAAGCACACCATCCAGAGCTAAAAAGAGACCTCACACTCAAAAAATAAGTGAGAAGTAGTTTCTTCCTTATTCCTACACAAACCACATTCCAACTGTGTTGCTTGCAGAATACCTCTTCTAAACAAATTATCTTTAGTTGTGATTCTATTCAAAATAACCCTTAAAGCTAAAGCTGAAACTTTTGTTGGAGCAATGCTAGTCCATATCCACCGAAATATGACATTAGATGCAAATATTAAGTCATTCCTCAAGACCTTATAAGCCGAGCTAACTGTATACACCCTTTCTGGTGCAGCTATCCAGGACCATTTATCTTCATCAGAAATAATGAATTTCGTACCATTGATAAAATTAACAAGAGTATTCAGGAGTTGCTGCTCCTATACTAATAATCTTCTTCTCCAGCTCCACTTCCATTTAGCCACACCCCCCTCCCATTCAGACATTTCAACAATAGAAGCATTTTTATTAATTGTTATTTGATATAATCAACTAAACCTATGAGCTAGAATTCCATGACCCACCCATTTATCCAACCAAAATTTAGTGTCTATCCCGTTTCCAATGACTTTACAACAATTACTGGACATCCACTCATTACTCACCAAATCCTCTTCTTCAATTCTATTTAAATCCATCCACCACCTTGAACCTTTGCACCACTCCCATTTGTCAAATGTGAAGCGATGCCGTATAATGATCTAATAACTCTCACCCAAAGACTATTTTTCTCCACTAACATTCTCCAATGCCATTTTCCCAAAAGTGCTAAATTAAAGGCCGACAAATCTTTAATCCCTAACCCACCATGGATTTTGTCTCTACACACAACATCCTAAGCTACCCAATTTATTTTTCTGTTATCTTGATCCACACCCCATAAAAAGGATTTAAACAAAGACTCAATGGAAGAGATGATACCTTTGGGAGCCTTGAAGAAGGAAAGAAAATATATCGGGATGGAGTGTAAGACGAACTTTAGGAGAGCAATTCTACCACCAAAGGATAGAGTTGTACACTTCCATCGAGAGAGACGTTTTTTAACCTTTTCAATGACTAGATGCCAAGTAGAAATCATCCTATAATTTACCCCAATAGGTAACCCAAGGTAGGAGAAAGGAATGGAACCTACCCAACAATGTAAAATAGAAGCCATTATTTGCAACCATTGTGACTCTACGTTATACCCCATGAGTGGGCTTTTGGAAAAGTTAACCTTCAGCCCTGATGCAAGTTCAAACAACCTTAAAATTGATTTGATGGTCCATATATTTGAATAAGAAGCATGCCCCATAATGAGAGTATCATTAGCATATTGCAAAATATCAACCGGTACTTTATCCTTACCCACTAAACACCCTTTGAACCTTTCTAACTGGCTGGCTTTATTGAACAACATGAATAGGCCTTCTGCTACAATCAAAAACAAGAAAGGAGCCAATGGATCTCCTTGACGCAACCCCTTTGATACACTGAATTCTTCTGTTGGGCTACCATTTACTAATACAGACATTCTAGATGTTTTTAGGCATTCCGCAATCCAGGTACACCATATAGTAGGAAATCCCATTTTACACATCACAAATTGTAGACAGGACCAACTCACAGAGTCGTAGGCCTTTTCGAAATCAACCTTGAACATTATACATTTACTCTTCTTCCTTTTGACTTCCTCCACCGCCTCATTAGCCACCAGAACGCTATCCAAAATTTGTCTTCCTTTAATAAATGTTGATTGACAATCATATATAACACTGGAAATTACCATCCGCAGTCTATTAGCAAGAATTTTGGACAAAACTTTATAAAGGCAACCAATAAGAGAGATTGGTCTAAACTCCTCAATACGTTCAGGACAATCTTTCTTCGGAACCAGGATAATGAATGAACTATTTAATCCTCTTACTAACTTGCCATTGGAATGGAAATCATTACTAAACAACATAAAATCATCCTGTAGCATATCCCAAAAGTCCTTAATAAAGTGGAAGTTAATGCCATCTGGCCCTGGACTCTTATTACTTTCACAATCCCAGACTGCCCCTTTAACTTCTTGCAATGTGAAAGGCTTAATTAACACATCAACCTGATCTGAATTTAATCTTTTAAACACCAACCCATTTAACACTGGGCGATGCCACTGAGATTCTAAAAACTATTTATCAAAATGTTCTTTTACATATTGTTTAATAAGGGCAGGTTCTGAAATTCTGCAACCCCTAAAATTTAAGCATCTGATTTCATTTAACTTCAATCTTTTGTTAATGCACCGGTGAAAGTACTTGGTGTTTGCATCCCGTTCTTGAAGCCACTTCAGCCTTGACTTTTGGAACAAGAGAGTATCCTTCTTTTGCATTAGCATTTGCCACTATGCCATATATTCCTTCCTTTGTACCACTTTAGAGGGTGATAAGCCAGACTCTTCATCTTTAATATCACATTGTTTTATCCCATCTTTAACTTTCAAAATCTTTAGATTTAGATCACCGAACACTTTCTTATTCCAGATTTTAAGCTTACTCCTTATTGTCTTCAACTTTTCCTTTAGAATAAAGCCCCCCAACCTGCAACTTTTATATTCACTCACTCTTTTCTAACAAAATCTGCATAACTAGGCTCATGACGCCAGCTGTTCAGGAATCTAAAAGGCTTAGGGCCCCAATTAACATCCTCCGATTTTAACACTATTGCACAATGGTCTGAGACTACTTTGTTTAATGCCCATAAACATGCATTGCTCCACTGATCAAGCCAACCAGTTGTTACCAAGCACCGGTCTAACCGACTTTTACATAAACCATCAGGCCTATACCATGTAAACTTTCTCCCAAGCAAAGGCATATCTATTAGAGACAAATTATCAATAAAATCGACAAAGCATTCAATCTCCTCTCTTAGAATAACCGATGTTCCTTTTCTCTCATCTGCATGCTTGATAGAGTTAAAGTCACCAATAAAAAATCACTTCCCATCTCCTCTAGATTGCTTAAAGTTTTGCAACTTACCCCAAAGATGTTTCTTCAGCTCATAAGAGCATGAAGCGTAAACATTTACAACCCAACAATCTACATTTTCCTCACCCCACTGTGCAAACACAACAATAAAGTTAGAATCAACACCAGTTATCTGAACTTTGAACATAGAAGATCTCCACATTGTTAAGAGTCCACCAGACCTCCCCACAGAATAGTTGAATGCTCAATCAAAATTATTATCATCCCACAGAGAGCCACACAATTTTTTGTCAATCTCCTACATTTTAGTTTCCTGGACACACAACACCTCTGGCTTCTCTGATTTGATTAGATTAGCCAATTCCACCTTTTTCAATCTCCCCCCAATCCCCCATATTTATAGATAGTATTCGCATAAAAATAGACCACACTAACACCTCCACCTACTAGACACGCCTCTGATAATTACCCCCTAATCTCCCCCTCCACACCCCCTCCTTGGTTAAAAAATGCTCCCTGTCACACTCTTCCATAACAGCTAGTTTTTGCACTATTTCTGTTTCATTATCAAAATGCTCCATCCTCAACTCCCTACCCAAACCCCAAATTTTATGTGCAACCTCTTGTGAGCTAAAGACAATCAAATGCGAAGACAAACAATTAGATACAGGTTGAGAAATTGCCAACCTTGCAGATCGTTGAAATATAATATGTTCAGGTCAGAAAAAAAAATACTGTAAAGGATAAAATTTTCTATTTAAAATTTAAAAATATAGTTGAACTCGAGATTTTTAATTAAGTTAAGACCAAATATGTCAATTAATTTTCATGCTGAAGATAATGAACTAAAAAGGAGTGGCACATTTAGAAAGACACATTACTTAAATTATATATAAAATATAAAAAATGCATTTGTAAAAGTTTCTGTGTAGCAAAAAGACATAAAATAATAATAATAAAAAGGAGAATTGAGTAATAAGTTAATAGACATGATAACAAAAAGGTAAAATAGCATCGTAAAAGCTATTGTAAAATATATTATATGAATAATAAAATAAAAAAATTCTTTAAAAAATAATTATAAAAAAAAATAGTACAAATAACTCATCATATTTGGAGAAATAAATAGTAATTAACTTGTATTTAAAAAATAAATAGTGATTGTAAAAAAGATTTCTAAAATATAGTTAAGACAATTTTATTGATTTATATTGAAAGTTAGAAGTGAATGCATTTATATTGTGTTTTCCTTTTGATTTAAAACGACGTGGCACTTGCCCAAATTTCTAAATTCTAACACCCCATTCTCCTTCATTTCAATTCTCTGTTCGGCTGGACTTTGCTGCGGCAGCTCCGGCCACCCTCTCATCGCCATTCAGGTTTCCTCCCTTCGCCCAAATTTCGTTATTCTTTTCTTTTTCGGAAATTGAAAAGCAAAAGAAACCTAATGCTTTTGTTCCTTGCTTTGTGCCTTGGACCAAATTAGATGATTTAAGCGCGCAAGATCTGCTTCACGTATAATTAGGTTTTCTTGCCGTTGATTTCTCAGATCTAGTTTGTAAATCCTAATTGCAATAACGATGTATTGGCTAGCTAAATTGGCGTTGTGAGCTGCTACATCGCTACCAATTTCGTTTAGTTTAGGTAGCGGTCACCTCTCATTGTTGCGTCAAATGCGTTTCTTCAATTTTTTGAGACGGTTGCTTTATGTTATTTTTTGTTTAATTTTTGCAATTCCAAGGATATCTCTAGAACTGTGAATTTCTATCCCCCCCAAAATTGAATTGTTTAAATTTGGGCGGATTTGATTGCTTATGTTGACGGATCAAACTGGGTTAAAAGCTGTGGTATCATGATTTTGTGGATTTTAGGTGCTAGTGTATGAATGAGGGTTTTATTCGTTGATTATTAATTATAATTAGTGGCGTATTTAGTATTAAATTGTTGAATGAAGGGAAGGAAAATAATGTTTGTATTTTATCCTGCTCGAATCTGACTAACTTTGATTTGTTCCTGTCTCTTGGTTTAGTTTAGTTGAAAAGTTTTATAGTTCGAGTGGAAGATTGTGAACTAAGAAAGATGGTAAAGTTGACTATGATTGCTCGTGTTACTGATGGTCTTCCACTAGCTGAAGGACTGGATGATGGTCGTGATCTTAAAGATGCGGAATTTTACAAACAGCAAGTCAAGGCTTTGTTTAAGAATCTCTCGAGAGGACATTATGAAGCATCAAGGATGTCTGTTGAAACTGGCCCTTATGTTTTTCAGTATCCTTGGACTTGTAATTATTGCATAATATATTTGTGGTAGTTGAATAAGAATTGCTTGATTATCCCACTTATTGTGCTATTACATTGTACTATGCATGAAATATGTGATTGTTATCTAGGTACTCAATCGCATGCTATAGCACCACTATTGTAACATTGCGGCTATGGGCTCTCCACTGAACCCTGTTGGGTTGCAGTGTACTTTTGTGCCTGGAAAGGTGAACCATGGCTGTTATCTCAGCCATTGAAACCACTAATATGGCTCAGAGATGAACACCGCCCCCCTCCAACTATTTCCCCCTCCTTTTGATCCTCAAACAATGAAGTTTGGTGCTGGCCCTATTTATTTCACTTGACCCTATTTTCCCACTGACTACTTTCAAAGGCTAAATGATGCCAGTCCCACACACTGGAATCCTACATTGTTTTCTAGTCTCTCGCTGTTCACATCCTTTGGAGTGTGTTTTGTTCATGTCAAAGAGGGGTCTATCTTTTGCTTTTTATATTGATGTATTCTTTCTTTCACTGTTGCATTTAGATAGGTAAGTAACCTCTCCTTATATCTCTTATTATTTTATATTACTTGATTCTTGCTGTTACTAACTACTATGTTTGCCTTAAAATTATGAATTTAAATTATTAATTATGAATATGTCTTTAATATTTGCTTTTGTTAAAGCATTTGTATACATGTAGTATAAATCATTTATTTATATATGGAAATTTCATAATAGTGATCATTCCACTGCCAGCTACTCTGCTATAGCAGTTCTGAGGTCAGGGCTCTACGCTGCTATCCGGAGTTGATAACTATGAGTGTAATAATCTATGTTATTAAAATTGCGAGTTAAATTGTAAGATTGTTATGATCCTATGAGTTGAGGGGTCCCTGGCGTGCTGAATGCCTGAATCATTCAGGGGATTGTCGACAAGCCTGATCAAGGTGGGATTGCAATCTTCATTGTGAACTTGTGGGATCATCAATCCCCAGCAAGGCAAAGCGGACCCAGATTTATTTGTTGGATCCCTTTGGCACAGTTTTAAAACTTCCTAATTCCTTTTTGACCCACTCTTGTACTCTCCCATTCTCACACAGCTGGTTCTGCCCTCTGTCTCTTCTCTGCCTTCTCTCATTCTCAAGTCTCTTCTGTGTTGGATTTTTATATATTCAATATTCTGCCTTCTCTCACTCTCGGTCTCTGCTCTCTTCCTTCTTGTCTTTATAATTATAGACCAATATATTGTATTTGGGTCTTATGACTTATTATGATTATGAATTTAATATTGGTAATAATAGTCATGAACAATAATAATTATGAGTATTGATATAATATCAAACAGTACGTGATTGATGGTTAACTATTAACATTGTGGATATGTCCACAGTTTGATGTTATTTTATGTGGTGCTATCTTCCAGTTAATAGGTGTCTCATCATCAGACTCAAGATGCTCAACTGCATATTACTTGGTTATTCACATGCTTACTTTTATTGTTATCTTTGGGATTTGGACATTAGAAGAAACTAAGGTCTGTTTTATTGGGTACAAATCTCCCTTCTTTTGTTGAATTACAATTTGGATGCTGCTTTTATATATTGTATGCCTCTTGCATGTGAAAATTGGGACACTATCTTGTTGATCTACAACCTTGCTTCCTTAGCAAGTTCATTAGTTACTTGTCTTCAACTGTTTTTGGGATCTATTATATTTAATGTTAGTTACATATATTTCAAAAAAGAAAATTGCATTATCTTTATTTGGAAGAGTTTCATAGCCTAAAGTGACCTTGACAGAGCCTTAGTTATATTATAGAAGGACGGGTCTGTTACTTGACAATGTGTGATCGAGCTTATCCTAAGAAATTAGCCTTTCAATATCTTGAAGAGCTTAGGAACGAGTTTGAGCGTGTTAATGGATCTCAGATTGAAACTGCTGCTAGACCCTATGCCTTCATTAAGTTTGGTAGATATCACTTCCTATACTGTCATATACCTTTTATAGCATTATTTTCTTTTTCCACTGGCACTAATCTAGTTTTTTCTTTTAAAAGATACATTTATACAGAAGACAAAGAAACTTTACCAGGATACCCATACTCAGCGCAATATTGCCAAATTGAATGATGAACTCTATGAAGTTCACCAGATAATGACTCGAAATGTGCAGGAAGTTCTTGGTGTCGGTGAACAGTTGGACCGTAAGATATTTCTTGTATTCTCTGAATTTTAGTTTTATCACTTTGTCTGCTGATTGCTTGGAATACAACACCTAATTTTGTTGTAAAATTAAAGGCTAGAGATGTATTTTCCCTCTTTATAATTCGGGAAAAGCTGTTGTAATAGAAAAGCAATCAAAGTGTGCTCAGTTAATGTTCAATAGAAGGAACATAAGATGATTTCAAATAAGGTATTAGTTTTTTCTTGGCAACATTAACTTCAAATGCTTGTGATCTCCCGCATCTAGTTTCTTAACCTGGACATGAGGTTCTTTCAAAGATTTTTCTCAGAAACTTACGCTCAACTTTCATAGTTACACACTTCCACCTCCATTATTCTGATAGATGATCTTTTTTTATTTCCACTTCTAATGCAGCTCCATTTTTGTTTGTATGTTTTGGCATATTTGATGGTTTTACTTGTGAAGTATAAATTTATGTTCTACATTTGATTTCAAATTCTAATTTGCAGAGGTCAGCCAAATGTCCAGTCGCTTATCATCAGAATCTCGCATATATGCTGATAAGGCTAGAGATTTAAATCGGCAGGTTAGTCATTTTCAGTTTTCCTACATCATGCACATGATATCTAATTTTTTTTTTTCCATTTGTGCAATATATCCTTTTTTCTATTTGGATGATGACACGTTAATTTGGTTGACAACGGAAATATCATGCTGCAATTGTAAATTGCTTTGTGCTAGGAATTGCTTCTATAATTTAGATAGAAGAAGCATGCAATGTGTGGATTTTGTCTTAGAGCTATTAGAATTGATGTGTTTTCATTGACTTTTACCTGTATATAGTGACAGATTTGAAACATGACACTTTACTTTTTGGTTATAAATCTTTCCATTGACTGAAATATAAAGATGAAACACTGTTCTATGTACTGGGGCTTCTTCTTCTTTTTTTCTTTTTTCTTTTTTTAATGTTCTACACTTGTATTAAACTTTGAAATCTAAGTTTTATGTTAATTTGTAGCATTTGGTTGTCAAATAGAATTATAACGAGATGGTTTATCACTAAATGACATATAATGGATCAGTTGCTGGTCTTTTTATTTGTAAACTTCATGAACAGGTGCAGACTGCCAATGCCTGCATAAATTGTGTAGGTTAATATAACGATTAACGAATTTCTCTGGGGTTTCCAAATGCAAGTTAGAGATATTCTTATATCACTATTACTCTGGTTAAGTTTTTTTATCATGTACTAATTTAATAAATGTAGACGAAACCCTATAATATGTTTAGCATTTCTCTGAAATTCTGATGATATTTTGCAGTGTGTGCGTATTCTTTAATGCAAAATGTTAGCCTTATAGTATCGTTAAATGATAAATTGATGCTAATGTTAGGAACTGTTGATTTTCTTTGAAGCTTCTGGCATATATTTGGATTCTGGTTATATTCAGCATTGGATAAATAATTTGAAAATCAAATATTTGCTGTAGGCTCTGATTCGGAAGTGGGCCCCTGTTGCTATTGTTTTTGGAGTTGTCTTCGTACTTTTCTGGATCAAAAATAAACTATGGTGATCTAGCTCATTGTCTGACATTTAAAACCTGGATTACGTTTGCTGTGGCTTCTTGCTTTCCTCACATGATTATCCAGATTTTCACAGATTGGTGGAAACCCTATATGCATGAGATGATACCGACCTTTTTCTGGACAACTTTGGTTTAGAAAAAAAGACTATCCTCTGTTACATCTAAGCATGGCTGGATCAGCCTTTCTGGAACAGGAACCTTTAACATTTGTAGTAAGGAGCCGAAATATGAGAATACTTGATCCCCATGGGGATGCGTATAGCATTTCTTATTTCTAGTTCTCAATTATTTTCAGGATTATTGCGTTAATGAATTAAATATATTACCTCTTCAATTTTATTGTTTCCATTTGAGCCGCTGAATTAGAATTGCGTTATATATCGCTGGTATAATGATAATTAGTAGTGTGGAATACTTGTTGTAAAACTGGGAAACCTTATCTCATTTTGTTTTTACATTTCCCTGATACTTATCAGTATAATAGAATATTCAGATCTGGATTCTTAGTGTTTTGTTGCATTTAGAATAAGGTAAGTTTATCAATATTTTTTTAACTTTGTCGATGCAGCACTGTGGTTTTAATGATGTATTGGGAGATTATTGCTGAATCAAAGCAATCATCATTACAGATATACTTAGAAGGTGGGGTAAAAGGAAACGGAAAAAACATTCGGTCTTTAAGGATGTATGTTTCTGTACCGATATTGGTAATGGTAATGAACAGTTGCACTATCCTGGTTACGTGGCAGACATGTCAATTGCATACATTCCGTCGATGGGTAGTGCCAATCGAAGGAACAAAACAAGAATGCTTTCCACTAGTTTTCATTCTTTAGAAGGGGCATTACGGCATTTAAATATCGAAGGGTTCATGCTCCTGGAGTTTTAGTTCTAGTCACAGCAATCTTTTTTTAGATAGATTATATCTACTTTGGTATCAAAATTCACAATGTCAAGGGATAAATGGTGATAAGAATACAAAACATTGTCACGTCATGCTGAAGGAAGAAAGTTCTCATGCTAAGAAATTCTAAAGGTGATTGAGTCGAACACAAAAACCTCCTTCAGAACATGTTAGATGAAGATGAACAAGGCCGGTATCAAACTTCCTTCTCCTTTCCTTCAATTGACGGTTCAGTGCTTTATGACTCGGCGACATGTAAGTGTATAACGCAAAGCATATTTGGGTTAAGCTTCAGTTCGTGATGATTAAATCCTAGCAGCAGTCCTCTGAACGAAAGCATATTTGGGTTCTAAAGGGAACTAATTCGAGAGGATCCAAAATGACTTGGGAACTTAAATTAGTCAAATAACTTTGTTTTGCATCTTAATTGTGATTCTGATTACGCCAAACACATGACAAGGGACATGGTCTGTCACTTGTTTACGGTATGTTGTAGTCAAACAATGTACTTCAATTTCATAACCTCAATGTCATTAAAAAATCATCTTCCTTCACGCCTTTACGACACATTTGGTATTTATTTATGCTGAGGATATCCTCCACCGACCGATGGAAACTAATTACTTCAAGGTTAAATTACTGAATAATTACGAATTTTATTATTGTATATAATATTTGCTCAGGTATCTGTTAAATGAATGTTCTCGAATTTTTTATTATTCGTGAGTATCCTTGAGTACTCATATACATATTTGATAATATAAATTAAAAATAAGGTATAACAAAACTAAAACAAATTATTTTAAAAACATTTATTATACTAAAATTAAATTAGAGTAGCTTACATTATATGTAATTAAAAGTATTTAGGTAATAATATGAGTACCTTATCGTTATCATCGCCTTGTTAATAAGCACGTAAAAAATAAATCTACTTTACATATGAATAATATGAATATTTGTTAAACTATTTGAATATGAATATGAATATGGTAGCGAGGAGATTAGTCACTGCTATCGGCGGTGGATACTCCAGGGACGAACAAAAAAAAACTATTTGAATATGTTGGAAAGAGTTACAAGAGAAAAATAAGAGTTAATGGGTTAAAAAATACCTTTTCTCATGGTAATATATATATATATATATATATATATATATATAATATGCATGAATAGTCTTTTCATAAAAGTAAACAGGGACTTAGTAAAAGTTATATCAGTATCGTTTGAACCCTTCTTATATATATATATAGGGGAATGCTAATGTACTCCCACCTATTTTTTAGTGGGAGTATGTTAGCAACCTACACCAATTTTTTAGGACAAAAAACCACTCATTTATTTTGATTTGGTTAATTCGTACAAAGGATATTATAGTAATTTAATTTAATTTTAAATAAAAATAAAATATTTTCTCTTTCTTATTAATTTCATTCTCTAAATCATTTATTTTTTCTATTAATTAATTTTTACTTGTTCAGAGAGAGAGGAGTGAGACATCATGAGAAATGAGAGAGAAATGAGTTAAAGAAAGAATTTAATAGGAGAGAGATAAATAAGTTAGAGAAAGAATTTATAGGAGAGAGATAAATAAGTTAGAGAAAGAATTTAATAAGAAAGAGAAATGAGTTGGAGAAGAAATTTAATAAGAGAGATAAATGAATTGGAGAATGAAATTAATAAGAGAAAGAAAATATTTTTATTTTCATTTAAAATTAAATTAAATTACTATAATATCATTTATACGAATTAACCAAATTAAAATAAATGAGTGGTTTGTTTGTCCTAAAAAATTGGTGTAGGTTGCTAACATACTCCCACTAAAAAATAGGTGGGAGTACGTTAGCATTCCCCATATATATATATATATAACAATCCAACCTTCCAATTTAAAGTTCTTAATGGATCAAATCTGTAAATTTTTAGAAAATTTAAAAATCATTCGTCAATTTAAATTAATGAAATGAAGTATTAAATGATTTTTAAATTTTCTAAAAATTTGCAGCATTAAGAACTTTAAATTGAACGGTTGGATCGTTGAAATTTGATATAGAACATGAGTTATTGAACGGAGTAAGTTTAGGTAGACTTACTCCTGGAGTAAAATGATCCCTCCTCATATATATATATATATAT